CCTCATCAGATGCAGCACTGGGGTCCAAGGCAAGGCCTCCAAAGCTGCCAGGGCAGCACAGCATCCTGGCTTTAGGCTGGGGAGTGGAGTGGTATGTGCAAGAGCCCACAGGGGTCCCTTTAGAAAAACTAAAGGGGGACCGTGACTATTGTCAGAGCTTTTCCATGTATAAGGTGCTTTTAAGATATGCCTTTAGTTCCAACACTTGTAGTAATCCCACTGAGTTTATTAATCCACATCTATAAAGGGGAAACTGAGGCTCCATGCGTGGCCTACCCAAACCTCTCAGCGAAGTGGTGGAGCTGGGACTTGATCCACAGTCTGTCTTATCTGAAATCTCACAGCATTCCCATGTCATTTTAGTCAGTGTGACTCGTATCTGCAGGTGACATGCTCAAGGCCAAGTACTTTTTTAAAAATTCTGGCAACACCTTGGGGAAGAGTGACTTGCAGAGTTGATGCTATAACTCTAAGTGATTTAGAAGGAGGTCTAGACACTCAGCCTTCTAGAGGGGAAAAACGGAGCCAACAGCCAAGTTCCCAAGCTAAGTGCAGCCTTGGAGCCAAGAATTCCGCCTGCCTGGAAACAGAGGGGCCTGCAGGGCTGGCTGCAAACCCTGCAGCCAGGAGCCTGTTGTCCAAGCTGCCTGCCCACAGGATTAGAATTCTGCAGCACAGACAAACCTTTAATTGAAAAGCCCTTTGTCCTTCACTAGTTCCCTGAGGCTATGGGAGAAGATGATTCCCACTCTCTCCTGATACCTGGCAAACAGCCCTGCTGAGAAAAATACTTAGTGTAAATCTATGAGCATTCAGACTATTGGTTTCCTAATGCTGCTGGCTGAGGTTTCTCCTTGGTTGCTTATAAAGATGATTGTAAACTGGGTTGCCTCAAGAACATACTTACCCTCCCAGAACTATGCCGTCTTCCTAGCAGATGGCTGCGTGCTCTGCCAAGACAGCCTGGGACCCTGTGTGCGGCTCCTCTAGGGCATTGCCTTGGGATGGTCTTGTTTGGAGAAGTATGTTGTGCACCCACTGAGTACAGACACTAAACATGCCTTTCATCATATAACCTGTGACAGCAGGTGTTATTCCTACTGAATTTCTGAAGAGTCTCCCCTCGAGGCTGACTTGCTGCGGGTCCCACAGTGAGTGAGAGAGAAGACTTTGATTCTGTGAGGCTCAGTGGTGTGCATGACCCACTGTGGGGACCAGTGGCAAGAGCGGGATGCCATGGCAGGTCTGGCTAATGGACTGCATGTTCAGATTAGGGCTGGTTGGGCTCCACTTGCCGGGAGGCCTGGTCCTCCATGTGCTTCCAGGATAATGGACACAGATGCTGTGAAGGAAACTTGTAGGAGAACCACAGTATTCATTCTCCCCTGCTGAGGTGATAGAATTTGTATCTTGGCTCAAGATTAACTAAATCCTGCACTTCCTGGTATCCTTTGTAGCTACAGGTGGCCTGACAGCAAAGTTCTACCTGACAGGACATAAGAAAACGTGATCTGAGCAACCTACCAGGTATGCCTCCAACAAGAAGCACAGGCTCCTATCCTTTGTCCTCTTCCTCCTGTTGCTTGAGGTGCTGACATGAAGGCAGGGGCAGAAGCTGGAGATACCATCTAGAAACATGAGGCAGATGGTGCGTTGAGTACAGCAGAGCAGCAAGATACAAAGGACCCTGGTCCCTGATAATTCTGGAGCCGCCATCAATGCTCTGCACCATAACCCTGGGCTTTTACCTGAGATAGAAGTCAACTCTTCATTTATTGAGTTTTTTGGTTTTTGGAGACAGTGTTTCACTAAGTAGCTCGGGCTGGTCTTGAACTCATGGCAATCCTCCTGCCTCAGCCTCCTGAATGCTGGGATTACAGCTGTGTGCCACCATGCCTGGCGCTCAACTTTTAAATCATTGCCATTTGGGTCCCTTTGTGAAGTATTGTGCTGGACAACATACAGAGGGCTGGTGAGAGGTTTGGTGACAGAATTTACCAATAAACAAGGAATAAAGGAAAGACAAGAGCTTGCTTAAGTCACTGGGCATGCTGTCAAGAGGGAACACTGGCAATTTCCAAGAGAGGAATCACACAGTGGGGGGGATGCCAGGGCTTTAAAAAGGGAATAAAAACATGGGAAAGGGTCTGAGTTGGAGAAAGGTAACCATCTTAGAAAGACATTTCCCAAGGCATCCTGTGCGTTATTGTTCTCTCTGAAGTACCTGTTCAGTGGGCCGGGGATTTAGCTCACTGGTTCTGCCGCTTGCCTTGCAAGTGCAGGGTCCCAAGTTTGGTCCCTGGTACCAAAAAAAAAAAAAAAAGAAACACCTGTTTGGTAACAGTGTACATCAAAGTTGCAAGTTGTCAAGTCCTCCCTCTGGCTTAGACCTCAGAAAAGTCCCTTTTGATAAGGGCAAGAGCATTAGATCGGGGGAGAAAGGATGGTTTCTGTAATTACTTTTTTGGTCCTCTTTAGGGTAGTGCTCCCTGGCTGTTCTGTTTGTGTTGGACAGAAGTGCGTTGTCAAAGAAGTTTGGGTGTTGAGAATTTTAACCCGCTTGTCACCACAGGAAAAGTCAACCTCACATCCCAGTAAACAGAGGTGGGAGCGCCTGTGACTTGACAGCTAATGACTGTGTAGCCTGTGATAGGACCTCAGACAAGTGTCCCGTCTTGGTCCTGGGGGACACCAGAAGGTGCTTCTCAAGTGTCAGCAACTGGGCGTGTGTTTGCTCTGTCCTTTCTATGCCACCATCCACGCTGCTTTCAGCACGGAGGGTCTTCCCAGTCAGACCCCATCAGGAGAAGCAGGGTGACCCCTGCAGGGGGCAGCCACGGCGGAACCGTGCAGACAGCCAGGGCTGACCTCGGTGTGTGCACAGATGTGCTCTTGGGTCCTGCGTTAGCCATGCAAAGTTCTGCTGGAGAACAAAGGGGAGAAGCTCCTCGGGCTGGAGCAACCCTGGAAGGCTTTGGGGAGGAAATATTTCCCGATCCATGCAGATTACAAGGAGCTCAGATGATGGCCTCTTTTCTGTTCCCTCTGGCCCTTAATAGCCTAACAACAACAAAGTGGTGGGAAAGCTGAACAGCAGCCCATTTCTCCTTTACCCAGTTGTTGGGATTCATTTATCAAAGGCTCCAAAAACAAAGGACAAGTCACTGAGTGACGTGGAAAACAGAAGACACATCCCACCCGGGGGACAGCAGATGCTCAGATCCTAAGTACTGTGCCGCATAGATTGAATAGCATGTGTTAAAGAAAACCAAGAAACAAGTGTTTATGTAAAATACCATCATTTTTAAATGCTGATAACTATCTGAAATATTTAAAAATCACCAGGGATGTCAAACTCACCTTCAGGCCACATTCAGCTGCAGCCTGACATTTTGAGACCATGTTTACTTCTGCACTTGATGTTTGCTGAATGCTTGCTATGAGAAAGGCACTGAATTAGGTGCAGGCGATGTGCTCATGGGGGTGGGGGAAGTGGAGGCAGAAAAATTAGGCCACTGCCTGTGAGGAAGTTACACTCTCAGGACAGGTATGACAGGGGCTCCCACAGTTGCAGGAGTGAGGCTCCTTCTTGTTTGGGGGAATCAAGGACGGCTACCTGGGACAAGCACCTTTCCAGGAAGAGGAGAATTTTGGAAAAGAACGGCGTCAACAGCACCAAGGCTGCTGCGAGATGATGGAAGAGAAAGCATGGGACAGGCCAGGACAGATAGGTCACCAAGGGGAAAGGATTCCAGAGGGTACCCGGACTGAGGCAGTGACAAGATTAAACTACACTTAAGGGAGCGGACCGACCACTGCAGGAAATGGGTTTGTGAGATTGCAGGAAAGGGAGGTGGAAGGGAGAAATGGATGATCCAGGAAGGAATGGGACGAGGAGGAGGAGAGGATGGAGCCGGGGTAGGTGTGACCCTGGCTGGAGGAGGGAGGCCTCTCTCCAAGGACGTCACAAACCACAGAACAGTCCCTAATGTTCCATTTCTAAAAACATCACAAATCTGTGCTGGATGGTTGTGAAAAAGAAAAAAACAATTTCCATGGAAATTCACCTACAGAATAAATCTTTTTGATTGTGGCTTTGAGCAAATGGGAACACCGTGAAAAGTTTTACACAGGATTGGAGGCAATACAAGTAAAGATGTATAAAATTCAACTTGGTGAAAGAGGAGATCGAGGATGGGATTAGAGTTAAGTATATCTGGGGTAATGGAAAAAATATTCTAAGGGTCCATATTAATAGTGGGGTTATCTGGAAGCAGAGAGAGACACAATGGCTTTCTAGTTATGAAACACCAGAACAAAAGGGTTAGACCCCTGCAGAGTATTGTAGGAAGGATCGGAAAGTTCTGTGGCAAGGTTACCCCCTTTCCATGGCCTCAGACTGCCCCAGTCAGGGTGAGGACTCGGCCTTTCTTCTGAGTTTACCTTTAGTTTTCCATTTACATTGGCTCCATATCTTGCGTGTGCTGGCTGTTTCTCCTCAACAGATTTTTAGGAAGCGTCGATGATTGTTCTATCCTGATGTGTTAGTAGCCCACTAAATTCATTTTCAATGGAAAGATCCAGTGCTTTACTCTGTGCTGTTTTCACCACCCAGGTCCTCCAGGAAACTTCTGTAATTATTTCTAAAGTGGCATCAATGGGGAATAATAAACATTTATTATTACACACTTGTTATGCTCTGCATGACTTTCGTTGTATCATCTCGTTCAATCCTGACAGCAACCTGTATTGTCACTGCCATTTACCAGCCCTGGAAACTTAAATTAGTTTCCTACCCTTTAAAAAATTTCTTAATTTTAAGATGTAACCATGGTGATAATGATGAAGTCTGTTATAGAGCTATTCAAAATAGTTTGATATGTTTAAAGTACTTAAAACAGTATTCTGTATTGAGTGCATAGTGAGAGGCCATCATTTTTATTTTACATATGAGGAAACTGTATGTTTAAATTATTTCCCTAACGTTCACACAGGCAGCTAGAAAGCAGTGGAGCTGGTTGGTGCCAGAGATTTTATTTTTTTGATACAAGAAGTCAGAGTGATGAGCTCCATGCAAAAAAGAGAGGTAAGGCACCATGCTTGTGTGTGTTCCAATCCAATGCCCCTCTCCTCAACTGCAAGGGGTAAGCAACTGTGTCTCATTGAATTATTTACGTGTCCGGCTGATTTGCATGGTTTCCCCTGGGCATTAGCTGTCCTGTGAAACTCTGTGAACACTCATTTTTTCCAGACTGGATAGATCATAAGCCATTTATGGGTAAAAATCTTCTCTAAACCTTGACCACAAGTATCTGCTGAACAAGGAGTATTTATTTCTCAGAACCCTGGTGGTTTATCATGTGAAAAGAAACATGGGTCATGGGATTTGTGAAATGTATCCCAGAGATAGATTCCATCAAGCGAAATGTTGTCACAGGCTTCTGTTAGAAAAACACCCAATGTGCCTAATTTACTTTTTCCTGATCCTCTTAAGGGTTGGCTTCATCTCAGTATATGGGTTGCTAAACTATTTCAAAACTCTTCATACCCAAGCTAAATTGGTGCTTAATCAAATTCCCTGTGCTACATGGAGAATCACAGCCTCAACACAAAGATTCTGATGTAAGGACTTCTCATATTGGCACACTGTTTTTGCAGTGGCCAAAACAAAGTGTGAAACCTCTGCTTTCTTTGAGCCCTAACTCTACCAGATATCTGCTGCTGCTGTTATTGTTATTATTGCCTTTTGATAAAACAATTCTGGTTCATTGATGCTAATAGATGGTGCTAAAATTTTACACCCCGTTGAAGAAAGAACTTCCCTTTTGCCTAGGTTGCTTTTTGAGGGTTATATAAATGGATCACAGTGGTCTATCAAAATACTGTATGGCTGCATGTAAGTGAAAACCCAACTTACAATTCTTTTAAAAATAGAATTTTTTTTCTCATAACATCAACAGAATCAAGAGGGAGTTAATTATTGATTCAGCACCTCAATAATGTCAGGTCTGCTGTCTTAATTTTTTTCATTTGCAAAATGGCTGCTTTTAGCAAGGTATTTCCCCACCCTAACATATCTGCTTAACCAGTTAGTCCCCAACTTAAAGAATGAGTTTTGTTCCAGGAGAACATTCTTATTTTTTTCTCATAACATCAACAGAATCAAGAGGGAGTTAATTATTGATTCAGCACCTCAATAATGTCAGGTCTGCTGTCTTAATTTTTTTCATTTGCAAAATGGCTGCTTTTAGCAAGGTATTTCCCCACCCTAACATATCTGCTTAACCAGTTAGTCCCCAACTTAAAGAATGAGTTTTGTTCCAGGAGAACATTCTTAAGTCAGATTTGTAAATCTGACAAAGTAAGTCTTACATACCTTTGATGCAAATATACAAAGAAAAGCATAAAAACCAAACCTCCACATCACCACTGCTTTTCCTCTTGCTTCCGCACATCCTGGGCTCTCACCAAGCACTGTACTACCTACTGTGCACTGTCACACTTTACAGTGATCACACAGCAGCACAACTATGACAGCACCCAGCAGACATGTGAGTTACTTCCACAATTTCTTTGCATCTATGTAATTTGAGGTCCACTGGTTTCTGTGAAAGTTCACAACTCGAATGTTCATAAGACAGGGACTTACTGTACTTATTTGCCAGAATGGTAAGGATGGTAAGTGGCTACCCTTACCTCGCTGCAAAGGAGGCTCTGAAAGTAAGCAAGGAAGAGGACTATTGGGAATGTGTGTTGGATAAGCCAACTGACAGTACCTCACTTCTGAATTTTGAAGGCTATTTTTACGTAATTCTGAATCAAGTTTTTGGTCCAGTCAGTGAAAAGGATATTTGGAGATTTGTTTGGTGATATTGTAATCGACAACTGTAATTGTATATTTTATTCAATAGGTTGTTTGGCTTTATTTAAGCTGTCTAATCCTGTTTAACCCCTCTATGATTTTGGTTCACTGACATGTTTAGATAAAATCAAAGCTAAACCAATGGTTTTCAGTAGCATTCAGTGGATCAAGGCTATGTTGATTAAATAAGAAACATCTATTTCTGAATCAGTTTTAGTTATTTGAGTCTTTTGAAGAATTTATTTCATCTAAGTTTTCAAATGTGTTGGCACAGTTATCTATAATATTCCTTTCTTTATCTGTAAGATCTCTAGTGATGTCCCTTCTTTCATTTCTGATATTTGTGATTTATTTCTCCTCCTCCCTTCTCTCCCTCTTCTTTTTTTCTCTCCTCCCATCTGTCTAGTTAAAAGGTTCATTGAACTTTGCAAAGAACCAGCTCTTACATTGACTTTTGTCCATTGTCTTTCCATTTTCTAATTCATTTCTTGCTACTCTTTACTATTTCCTTTGTCGCACTTATTTTTTATTAAATTTATTATTTTTTTCTTGTTTCTTAAGGTGAAAGCTTAAGGTTGTTAGGCCTCATTTTTTCTAATATACATATGGGGAACAATAAAAATCCCTTAAGAACAACTTTAGCTATATTCCATACATTTTAATGCATTTTATTTTCATTTTCACTTCATTCAAAACATTTTATCATGGTTCCTTTTATCTATGCATTGTTCCATTAAGTGTGTGGTTTAATTTAGGGATTTCCCAGATATCTTCCTGTTATTGGTTGCTAGTTTAATTTTATAATCAAAAGATATACTTTGCATTATTTTGATTCATTTAGATAGTTTGAGATTGGCTTTGGCTTAATATATGTTGCCTTGATGAATGTTCCATACACAGTTAAAAAGAATATGTATTCTGCTATTGTAGAGTAGTATGTGTCAATGAGATCAAGCTGGTTGATAGCAATGATCAAATATTTTACTTGCTTATTGATTTTTTCTACTTGTTCTATGAATTATTGAGAGGAGCATTGAAATTTCCAAATGTAATTATAATTTTTTCTATTTTCCCTTTGAGTTCTTTGATTTGTTACTTTACATATTTTGGAGTTATATCTTTGGTTCCTAGACATTTAAGACATTTCTTTGTGGTGAACTGACTTTTATTACTATAATGTCTCTTTGTATGTGTGGTAATAGTTCTCATGTTGAATTCTTCTTTTCTTTTCTTTTCTTTTTTGGGGGAATACCAGGCATCGAAGTTGGGTCCTTGCACTTGTGAAGCAGGTGGTGGCACCACTGAGCTCAATCCCTGGCCCCTGAAATCTACTTTGATATTAAGAAAACCACTTTAGTTTTCTTGTCTTTAATGTTTGCATGATACGTAATTTTCAATCGTTTTACTTTTTACCATTTTTACATCAAAACCGGCTTTTTATAGACAACATAAATTTGGCCCTTACATTTTAATCAAGTCTGACAATATTTGTCTTGTTCAAACTACTTAACTATCAATGTACTTGGATTTAAGTCTACCACATAACTAAATGTTTTCTATGTTCCGTATAGTTTGCCTTTTTCCTTTCTTGTCACATTTGGCTTGAGTAGTCATGTGTTGCTTTGGGATAAGGAAGCACTCTGAGAAATGTATCATTAGGCAATTGCATTATTGCATTAACGTTATTGAATTATACTCACGAGCATAGATGGTCAGCCACTGCATGTGGCATCTTGGTGCAAATAGGAGACATAGTAAACACCAGATGTACAAAGTGTGACCAAAATATACTGGGACTGTTTACATTTTTTAATTATTACAATAAAACACGTTGCCATTAATCCCCCTCAAAATAGTTCCCTCACGTTGAACACTTACTGTACTCTTGCCACTTCCTGAGGTAGTTCTGGATGTCCTCTTTCGTGTGTGTCTTTACAAGATGTGATCGAAAATATAATGAATGCCATTGTCTTTTACTGTAATAATGTAAGTACATTTAGCTCTAAGAAACAATCATACCATCGTCCACAATGTCTATACCCGTGTTCATGCTCACCAGCAATGAATAGTTCCTGTTTCTTCACCGGCATTTGGTGGTGAAGTTTTCTGAATTTGGCCTTCCTGATAGGTGTATGATGGTATCTTGCTGTCTCAATTTTCAATAACTTAATGCTATATCATAGTGGGCATCTTTTCAGTAGTTGTTTGCCATCTGTATAAATTCTTTTGTAAGATCTTTGCAGATCTTTTGTCCATTTTTAATAGGGTTTCTCTATTGCTAAGTTTTAAGTGTTCTTTGTATATTTTGGATTACATTCCTTTGTCAGAAATATCTTTCACAAATATTTTCTCCCATTATGTGGCTTGGCTGCTTATTTGCTTGAACTGTTTAATTTTAAAATTCTTGTTTCTCTCTGCTTCTACTGGGTTGATTTTTATGTTGTCTTCAAGTTTATCCTCTGTGTTGCCTGATTACCTATGAATACCATCAAGGAAATTTTAAAATGTATATGTTGACTCATTTATAATTTACACTTGATCTCTTACTTATATATTCTATTGTTCTCCCTATATTTTTCCTTTAAATAGTTGAATATAGTTAAAATAGCTACTTAACATCCTTGTCTGCTAGTTCTTTTATGTCTACTATTTTTAAGACTGTTTCTACCAGCTCCTCCTGTGTCAAATTTTTCTCCTTAACATATCTGACAACTCCTGACTGAATGTTGGACATTTCAAATATTACCTTGTTGAGTGTCGATTTTATTGTAGCCCTTTAAAGAGTTCCAGGTTTTATTTTGCAACCAGCTATGTGGGCCTCAGTTTTGTCCCTGTATTGGCAGTATTTTGTGGGTCTAGAGTATTCTTCATCCCAAGAAGGACACAGACCTATTACTATGAAAGGACTCCTCTTAGTTCTTCCCTGAGATTGTAGGTTATCAAACAGGACTCCTCAGCATGGCTGCTCAGAGTGCAAACTTCTCCCCTCCCTATATAAACTCTAGGAATTTTTCAGCTTACGACTTTGGTCTCTCCAGGCCAGGACTGATTGAATCCCACATAGCATGGACATGTAGCATGGTACTCAGCAAAGATTCAAAAGCCCTTTTGCATGTATGTTTTATTAGTACATAAGGCCATACATACTGATCACATTTATTCTAGGGAATTTGTACCTATCCATAATGTCTTTTCCATTCCCCACCTCTCTCTACAACCTTCCC